TACTTGTCTGACGTATTGGACGCCGAGTCGTACAGTAAGTGATGGGAAGCGCCGTAAATGAAAAACGGCAACGAATTCATGTAACACGCGATCACCACTACAAACATACCCAACGCTATGAGCCGAGGCCTATGCACATGACTGGCGTAATAGCCGATGATAGGGCTGCATATGATTGGGCTGAAATTGTCGGCGATGAGTATGAGCCCGGTGATTTTGCTGGAAAAGCCGAATCGCTTCTCAATAGTACTCAACACACCGATGAAATACATACCAAAAGCGCCCTGAAGTATGCCTAATATGTTGGACACAACCATATACCAGATGGGAGTCGCGAATCTCTGCATCCAATCCGGTTTCCAACCGCCAAAACCGCATTTCACGTCCTCTTCGTCCTCTTCCTCCTCATTATGAGCTGAATCTACTCTAATATTGGGATCCGTTTCGCGCAGAGGTTTATCCATTAATCACAACTTATAATCCCTTTAAACTCTGACCACTTCTTTATTCTATTATAAATAATTTTAGTCAATAAGGTAATTTAGTTTACTAATTGTAATATTAAATAAACTGTATCACAATTTCAGTAAATTGTATAAATGTACAATAAATGAATGGCATTTATTAAATATCTTAAATTAAAGTGATATACTGTACACTATTTCATAAGTCAATCCAAATTACAAATGATTAGTACAGTAGACAAGTAAAGGCAAAATCATAATGTGCTAAACCAATTAGATATTCATAATTTTTATAATTGTTTTATACAATCCTTGAATTTAATTTAACTAACGTATGAGGTTTACAATTTGAATAATATATTAATAGAATTGTTGTGTAATAAATATAATTTACATTTTAATTCACTATGATTGATTTTTATTATATATTTTTGCTAATTTCTATTTTAGATGATTTTTCCAATAAATTAAATCAATTTTAAACTGTAATGAGTTACTAAAATATTTAGCAAATTAATATATGGTAAAATTTCAAAGTATTTTACAAACCTTTTAACAGAAGGAAAAATTTTAAATTATATAATAATTATCATATCAAACTTAAAGTTAAATGTTGAACAATGTAGTAATAATTGATCAATTATGACATTTTATTAAAACAACAAATTCTTAAAACAATTAACAAATTATGTAAACATAAGTGAAATAAATGTGTTATAAAGTGTTTTGATTTTTACATTTAATGTTTTACTAAATAGTTAGCTGACATTGAATGAAGATGTGTATAAAAATTAAATTCATTATAAACGTTGTTAATTTACAAAGTTCAATGAGTATCGATATCTGCCATTATATCTTAAATATTTGTATCCAATATCGATAAAAACAGATATAAATTGACGAAAAAAATATTGTCAATCATCGCCGATAACACTATTCCCTCTGTTTAACGCAAACCCAATAATTAGTTTATTTTAAATAAAAAATTAGTTCAAAAAATTGTTTTTTAAACATTTGAGGCGAAAGACACGTGAAGTAAGCGTTGAATTAAAAACATATTTATCTATTTTGTGAACAGAATTTATATTCAACTAAAGCTATTACTATTGGGATAGGAATTGTAATATTATAGTACTAATTATTAAGATATAAATTTCTTTAAATGATACGATTTATTAATAAGGTCTGAATGTACTTAACATGATTTAAATTTTGCTTGGTAGTTTACAATATTTATATAATAAATACTAGAATTTTCTATTTTATTTTTTAATATCATATTTATGCTTATGAAAAGCAACTGAAAATATTAACTTCTAATTAAATAATGTATTATCCTACCATGTTGCTATAATGTATTCTATTAAGCAGAATAACACTATATTCTATTAGGTACAAAATAGAAATAAGCTATTAAAAATTTTACTTTGTAAATTTATTAATATGTCTAATATTTTTATATTTGTAATTAATCAACCTTGATTTAATTATTAATAATTTAATGGTAATGCAATTTATTTCTGTATTAATATATAATTTTATTTTATACAATATACAACTTTTACTAAACAACGAGTTAATGTTTGGTGAATGCGATGAAACAATCAGAAAATGTTTCTTATTTGTAATGTTTTAATGATTGTTTGTTGTGTTCATCAATAATTTCAGATAATTTATTATTTTTCAGGTAACAAATATAAAACAATGAATGAATCAATAAATAACAATATGATAAATACAATCACTTATAATGACTACTATATTGTTGTCCGCCGAAGAATTAGAGGGCAATCGTAAGGACTGGAAAAATACCACAAACATTGGGTCCGTATGTACTGTACTCTCGTGTAGCCATCGATTTGCCATTTGATTCATTAGCCGATCATTTGTAGGTTTTGTTGACCAAAATAATTGTGTCACCCATTCGTTTGGAGAAACT